CAGTACAGTGATGTGATCTTTGCTCACTGCATCCTCCACCTTCCAGGTTCAAGTGATTCTCCTGCCTCAACCTGCCGAGTAGCTGGGATCACAGGTACCCATCACCATGCCTGGCTAGTTTTGTATTTTTAGTAGAGACGGGGTTTCTCCATGTTGGCCTTTTTTTTTTAGAGATGGGGTTTCTTCATGTTGGTCAGGCTGGTCTCGAACTCCTGACCTCAGGTGATCCACCTTCGCTGGCTTCCCAAAGTGCTGGGATTACAGGTGTGAGCCACCACGCCTGGCCCAGACTGTTCTTGAAGTCCTGACCTCAGGTGATCTGCCTGCCTCAGCAACTCGAAGTTCTGGGAGTACAGTCATGAGCCTCTGTGCCTGGCCAGTTTCTATGTATTATAAATGCATTTTTATTTTATTTAATCCTCAGTTCCTTATTTTCGGTGATAGTCTTCATTTTTTTTTATATATATCTGCATTGTGAGTATTGTTGTGTCAGGGAATGGCTTTTCATTTACTATACTTTTCTTTTTTTGAGACAGGCTCTTACTCTGTCACCCAGGGTGTAGTTTAGTAGTGTGATATTGGCTGACTGCCACCTGCCTTCTGGGATCGAGTAATCCTGTTACCTCAGCTTTCCTAGTAGCTGGGATTACAGACATGTGTCACCATGCCTGATTCATTTTTGATAGTTCTATTACAGATGGCTGTTTCATCATGTTGGCCAGGATGGCTTCGAATGCCTGGCCTGATGTGATTTACCTGCCTCAGAGTCCCAAAGTGCTGGGATTGTGGGCATGAGCCACTGCCCCTGGCCCTGTGCAAGTTTGTTTTTCACGCTGAATACTATTCTATTGTGTGTGTATACCACCTTTTGTTCATATCTCAAAAAAAAAAGGGCTATCCCATTATACATTCACAGCAACAGTGCAAAAGGCTTTTTCACCTTAGCATTTAAAAAAATATATTGATTTATTATTTTTTGAGACAGAGGTTCAGTCTTGATGCCCAGGCTGGAGTGTAA